GTTTATAAACAATAAGAGAAAGGTAAAAGTGACTCTTGAAGTTATACTTCAAGCTGTTTTAAGGAAAGTGTTAAATTTTTATTAATAAGGAAATATAAAAATTTCTTATAAACATCTTTTTTGTGTATGATCAGAGGATCAGTAGAAAAGATTGTAATTAAATTATAATATTTATTTGTTTGTTTGTATTTGTTTATTTGTTATTATTTATATAAACAAGATATTTATCTGTTGATTATAAGCTATATTACTATTTTTAGATCTATTGTATTATTGGTAACTATTATCATATATGAGTAAACATGTAAATGAATTGCTTATTAAACATATAAGTGTGTTACTATTTGAATTGGCAAATGTGACATGTTTACATTATATAATTCTAGATATAAAGTATTGTTGTATTATTTATATTACTCTTTACTATTGAGTAATTAAGGTTTGAACATTTTTCTAGGTGTTATAAACTTTGAGCTTAACTAATTTATTGACTGAAATTATTAACTACAATGTTTCTCTTGGTATTAAGAAAGGTATTAACCTATACTGACCTGATTGAAAATTTTATGAAGTTGAGGTTGGATCTTCAGTAGTTAACTATAAATCAATTTTCTTAAAGTTTTCTCTTCTCTGTAAAGAAAAACTATATTGTAACAATTTTTTTTTATACTTATTCTGTAATTATTATTATAAAAAAATATAATATTTGAAGCTTAGTGACAAGCTATTATTGTTTTAAGACTATATGTTTCTTAGATATTGAAGATTGGTTTCTTGATTTTTAAAAAGATTACTAAAAAAGAAAAATTTTAAGAAAGTTAAAAATCAGTAGAAAAAAATTTTTTTTTTGATTTTAGAAAATTTATATTATAAATAATAATAAATTTTAAAGTATTTAATATATAAAATTTTGTAGATAACTTATATTCTTTTTAAAGTGACAAAATTTAGAAAATATTATAAATCAAGGGTTTTAATAATAGAAAATTATCTTGAGTAGTTTTTTTATAGTTATTAATTTATAAATTTTAAAGTTTCTTAATGGGGAACATTTGATTTTTGTTCTTGTTTCCCTTTTTAGGAACCTATTTTTAATTATAAGAATATTATTCTATTGAAAAAAGTCATTAAAAATATGTAATACAAGGAAAAAATAATTTAATTTTTAATCCATTAATAAAACTATAGATGATTTATAATAATAATTTATAAATATTAAACTTTATAATTAAAGAATAATCCAAGTTATGAAGGAAGCAAAATATTATTCTCAAAGTTGCATCTAAAGAAATAAATTTTAATAACAAATAAATTGATATGTAAAGTTATTTAATTTATAATTATTTTTATTAATTCACAATAAAAACAAATTATATAAACTTGACAATAGATTAAAAAAAAAAATAAATATTATATTTAATAGTTAAATAACTATTTACTTAAAAAATACAATAAGCTTTATAATAATCTATAAATATTTATATAAGAATAAGATCAAAACTTTAAAAGAATATTTTAAAGTTCAATATAAAATAAGATTAACTATTATAAAAAAAGTAATCAAAAAATTTTATTAAAAAATAAAAAAGTTTAAAAAATTTTTTGTTATAATTAATATTTAATTGTAATCAATTAGAAAGGAATATTAGAGATTACTTGAAAAAAAAAAATTTAAGACTTGCTATATAAGGTTAATGGCAGAGAAGATATAATTCAGAATGAAAAAAAAAATATAATCATACTTGAAAAAAAAAGTATTATAATCCATTGAAAAAAAAAAAGTATAGAAGAAATGATTGAAAAATGGATTATCAAAGGTAATAAACAATTAGGTTTAAAAGATAAACTGTAAGCAAAGAACTTGATAATTAAAGGATAATTTAAATTATTAAAGATAAAAAATATTATATCCTAAGTTATACTGTATCTAGAGAAGGTAAACTTCAATGATGGGTGAAAGTCGTAAAGATTTTAAATACTATAAAATAAAAGACAAGTCATAATAGTCTGATAACAGGTTAAAAAAAAAAAGAATGTGTTAACTAATAATTGATACTATATAATTAACCCAATAAATTCAATGCATTCTTAATCAATACACGATTTACTGTATATATAATATAATCAACAAACGGTTCCAGTTCACTTTAGAAATTAGATGCAAGTTATAAATTTTTATTTTAGAAAGAAAATTCTTGAATTATAAATTTACTAAAAGTGACGAATTTAATAAAATTTTTTAATTGATTCGCTTAAATAGATATTTTAAAGGTCGTTCAACCGAATATTTTCATTTATGTGTTTTCGTCAAGGATGATGAGGAATGACTCGTCAAATGAGTCCGAGATCCATGATCATAACTAAATTAGCTCCATACGTCCTCTTGATATTTCCCACGGCTCCTTAGGTCTCGGACATAAGCGGTCGCACTGTCTTCATCCATGTTGCCACACGATTGGGCTATTCTAATCAGCGCATTGTTTACATCACGAGCCATGTTTTTTGCGTCGCTACAGAAGAACCAAAGTTAGAGAATATAATTAAATTATCTATTATATTAAAAATAATACTTTACCCGCATACATAAAAGTAACCACCTCGAGTGTAAATTAAATCCCATAGATATTCTTGGTTTTCGAGAATACGGTGCTGCACATATACTTTTTGCTCCTGTACATAAGAATAAAAGAAATAGTTAGTTCCATTCTCCAATCTTAACGCCGGAAACCTTTATGAATACACCCCTAAAAGTGCACATCCTACATGAACCTTTCGTAAATGCGCAGTGTGATTTACACATTTGCTCTCGCAAAATGCATTCCCCCCTAAATGCCATGGTTCAGAGCTGAGCGCATTTGAAAGGTTGTATATTATTATAATTATTAAATCGAGACGTACTTGCTCCCTTGAAAATGCAGTAATCAATTTTCCATTTTCTCCTAGTGTCTTAAATAACTCATCAAATTCATTATCATACAAAAAGTCTTCGTTTCTCTTTCGGCATCCGAAAAATAAAACAGTATCTCCAACTTCACTTCCATCACTTTTATGTTTGGCTCTTTCAATTATAAACCCTCGAAATGGTGCGACACCAGTGCCAGGACCCACCATCACCACCGGAGTTTTGAAGTTTTTCGGCAATTTAAAGTTCGATCTTCGAACATGTACTGCAAGTCTAATTGTATTTGTAGTTTCGTCATAATACTTGTTCCGGGGACCAGAATACAGATAGTACGGTGAACTTTCTGGGTGTTGAATATTATTGAGTTTGCGGTGAACCTGAAGTATATAATTTGTTGCAAGCCCATAAATCGTCTTTTGTGGCGCAGCAGATGGATTATATGTTAAAACTGAGGCGGTAATATGAATATTATTGGGCGTGGCTTTTGGACTACTAGAAATAGAGTAGTATCTGCATTGCAATTTTGGCAACGTTTCAATAATCAGATCCAATGGAATGGTGTCCACTGGTTTACCATTCTGAGACATCAAATCCAAAATTTCACCAAGAGTTAAATGTGCGTCGGCTACTGTTTTTCGGTAAGCCTCCTTATCTTGACCTAAAGTAGTGAGTCTAGACTTCCCCTCTTCACTGGAAACATAATTTGCCAATGTGGCGATAAACTGACGAGAAGCCGGAGCATGTATATCAAGATAATTACGAAAGATCGTAGCATAAGTCGTGGGAACCGGAAACGGATATTTTTTTGATGAAGAAGCTAGATAAAGAGGACACAAGATTAGCTATGATACAGTTGCGACCCGATGAAATAACGAATTATTCAATACTCACGATCGGTACTTTCGACAATGACTACTGTATCTTTCTTTTCCCAAAGGCCTAGTGTCTTAAGTATTAGGTAGACTTCTTGTTCTGGATTTATAGGCCAAATTGCGACATGATCACCAGACTGATAGTTTATTCCTGATCCAGTAACATCTAATTCCAAATGAATGCAATTGCGATCGGTAGTGTTGAATAATTCACGGGAAACTTTAACCGCTGACGGATATGGGTTTTTGGAATCGAAAACTTGACTAAACAATTCACGATATGTTAGAAAATCCACAAGAATTAAATTCATAAGTCCGACTCAGTTATACTTACACTCCGCTAGAGGCTATAGGTTTTTCACCGTGCTCGCCGTAAAAGACTTGATTAACATCATATTCATCTAATTCGGTAATTTTATATGAGGCAATGCGAGCTCTTAAAATATTCAAATAAAAAAAGTCAGAAATGACGGAATAGATTTTTAATATACTAATCTTTAAAAGTTATAATTATTACCCCGATTGAACTTCATTTTGATCAACGCCCATTGTATCACAAACGACCTTCCACATATCTTCTTTCCAGCTGAGAAAATCTTCTTCTAAGCTACCATCATCATCGCCCTCACCGCGTACGCCGATTCTTTTTGCACCAAACTCGGTTAATTTTGCATCAACCCGTCTTCCGACTGCATTAAAATGTTCATATGTCTTGTTCCCTAGACCAAAGACGACATAGCGAAGATTCGATAATGGTCCTTCTTCGATCGATACTCCACCCGAAAATTCGGGAGTTTCAGAATTTATCAATTCCCAAAAATCAACGGCATCATCGGTAGGTTCTCCCTCGCCTGATTAGCATCAATACAGTATCTTGATTACAAAAAATTAATTAAGCCTATAATATACAAAAAAAGTTTTTTTTTAAAAAAATAATACCATAAGTTGCCATCACAAAGAAAGCCACACCATCCTCTGGAAACCTGTCGAGAAGGGTCATGTCACAATCTTCAACATCGATGGTCATCGTTCTTAAACCAAACCGTTGTTGACCTTCTTTTGCTAGACGGGATGCATAATCCTCGGCGGTACCGGTTTGTGAACCATAAAACAGTATAACGTTCCTATCCTAAAATTTAACAAATTAAAATTTCTGAAAAATTGTCACAAATATTATTAATTACTAAGACTCACTGTATCTTTCATTTTTTTGATAAAATCCTTGCTTTTCTTTTGGATAGGAGGCCTTTGGACAGGAACCTCGGTTTTCGAAGGGATCGGTGGGGAAACATGTTTTTCTTTTTTATTATTACCAAACAGAGTATCTCTTGAGAGATAGAGAAAACCAAGAACACCGAGAAAGAGTAAAACAAAAAGATCGGAGTAATCAATTATTGGCTCATTGGCTTGAATGTCAACGAACGTTGAATCGCCAGGAAATTCGTCTGCCATCTGACTTTATTGTAAATAGGTTTTATGCTAAAAAATTATTGAGGACAAAGTTTCTAAAAAGGAGTTCTTAGTCGGATTTCACATTTTTAAATACAGAACGGCACAGATTGTTTTAATTAGGACAAAAGGTACGAAAATATCACATGTCCGGATTCGGATTAAAAAACAAGCCAGTAAAATCATTGTTTAAATCTTTCTGATTACTATTCTTGAGATAGTGCCGAAATTGATCATTTATATTTGTCATATCCGATACATTGTACATATTGCACTTTGTGAAGTATCTCATTTCAGTTAATTTATATTAATTTCTATAAACAATTTAAATTATAGATATTATATGTTTAATTTTTTTTTTTTTTTTTTTTTTTTTTTTTTTTTTTTTTTTTTTTGTTTGTTCTTGTTTTTTTATGTGTGTTTTTTTTTTTTGTTAATTGGTAAAAAAAAAAAAAAAATGATTT